GCCTCTGCCTCTGCCTCTGCCTCTGCCTCTGCCTCTGCCTCTGCCTCCACCTAAGTGCTGGGATCAAAGGTTACGCCACCATTGCCTGGCTGACTAGTTTCTTTTTTTATTGTTTTTGTTTTGTTTTGTTGGTTTGGTTTGATTTGGATTTGTTTGTTTGTCTGTCTGTCTTTTGTTGGTGTTGGTGTTTTTGTGGGTTTTAATATTTGTAATTTTAGTTTCGGGTAGGTTTTTTTTTGTTTTTGTTTTTGAGATAGGGTCTCCTTATATAGCCCTGGCTGGCCTGGAACTCAGAGGTCTGCCTGCAACTGCCTCTCAATTGCTGGGAGTAAAGGTATGTTCCAACATACCCAGTTCAGGAAGATTTGTTTCTTGGGTTGTGCCACCCTGGAATTACTATGCAGAATCAAGAAGCTGTATATTCCTTTTATATAACTAGTAGCATATTACACATAGTGCTTTTTCTGCTTTTTACATTTAACCAAATATCTAAGTGGGTAGCCTCACAGATTGCCAATCAGCTTGTTTTCTACTAGTTACTACCACAAACAATGTCTAACTAACTTCCCTATACATAAAAGCAAAGCTTCATACTTTAGGAACAGGCTAGAAGATGAGCTTGGCTTTTTTGACTACCCAATACATGGCAAAGTGCTAAATGTGTATAGCTTCTTCTTAGTCCTAGAAAAAGGTTGTGAGGCAAATTATAGGTTATAATTCCTTACAAATAAAGAAACAAAACAGCTGTGTAAAGCTGAGTCTTCAGCTTATTGCTAGAGCATGTGACTAGCATGTGCAAGCCCTGGCCTCATCCTAGCACCGCCACCACCAACCCCTAAAGAGGAAAAGGACAGTCTTTAAAATGGTGTTCTAAGAACTAGGGTTAGAACTCAGTTGGTAGAGTTTGCTTAACATGAGCAGTGCTCTGGATTTGATTTCTATCACTACATTAATCAGGCATGGTGATAGACACATAGAATCTTAGTACTTAGGAAGTGAAAATAAAAGAATCAAAGGCTTAAAGTCATCCTTGGTTTGAGCCCAACCTGGGCTACTTAAGACTCATACTTCCAAAAATTAAAATTAGTGTAGCGGCACATACTTTTAATCCTAGCACTTGGGATGCAGAGGTAGGGAGATCTCTGAGTTCAAGGCCATTATGGTCTATGGACCAAGTTCCAGAAACGCCAAGGCTACATAGAGAGAATGTCTTTAAGAAAAGAAAAAAGATTTTTGTTCTTGTTTTTTATTAAATTAAGGCATATACAAACCTTTAATTGCAGCATTTGAGGGGCAGAGGCAGGCAGATCTTATGCATTTAAAGCTAGCATGGTCTACATAGTGAATTCCAGACAAACGTAGACCCTTACATCCACCCCCATTTATTTATGTACAATTTCTTTTTAAAAAATGCTGAAGAGTTACCTACCCAGGAGATGGTCAGTGATTGAGTGTGCTAGCTGCTCTTTCAGAGGACCTGGGTTTGATTCCCATTACCCATATGGCAGCTCACAACCTTCTGTAACTCTAGTTCTAGGGAATCTGACACCACCTCCTGGCCTGCAAGAGTAATGCTAAGCACCAGTGGTATACTGACATACATGTAGATAAAACATCCATACAGATGAACCAAAATAAGATAAAATAGTTAGCCAGCTGAGCAGTTTAGCATGTTTTCACCTACTGGCACACAGTCCTTCTAGCCCCTAAAAATGACTGGAAGGCATCATTGCCAGTAACTAGAGAGCATCAGTTTCATTGCAGCCACGGCTGCTGTGTGTCCAGGATTAGAGGTGTTCCTGAAGGTCCAGCTGAAAAGCACTAAGTCATTAAGCATACAGGGCTTTGTGGTGTGACCACTACAGAACATATTTTGTTCTGATGGCTGATGTGATTCAAGTGTGGTTTGCATTTTAGAGACGATTCTTCTGGGCTCTGCTGAGCTGCCATTTTATTGACTGTATTTCTGGTGAGGAAGGATGCCTCTTTAACACTAAGTCAATATCCTGAGTAGATTAACACTTCTTGCTTTTATGCTCTCAAAGTCATATACTTGTATTGTCAGCTCATTTGAACATTTCAGAGATCATTGTATTGAGGAAAATTTCATTTTAGTTTCTCAATGTCCTCTCTGGAAGTTGAGTGGAAGTGTGTGTGTGTGCGTGTGCGTGTGTGTTTCCTACTTGCAAAAATCAGAAATCTGTTTAAAACACTTTGACCAAAAAAAAAAAAAAAAAATGGGGCCTGATTTATTGGCACTCCTCCACAGAAGTCCTCACCTTTACGTTTTCTCTCCATCAGAGGTTGGTGGGAGGAGGCAGGCATGGCAGTGATGAAAAGGAGTGAATGGGATTATTGCCTGTTGTGCAGCTAACCTAGTTTTGAAGGATGGACAGTGTGGGTCTTGAGAACCATGACACCAATGTGGTGTTTCAGCTGAGCCATGAGTTGGTGCTGCAGCTCTACTGCCTTTACCTCTGTCCTTAGAATTCTGTCAGGAGTGAGAAGCAATGGGTGGGTACCCTAGGAACATACTGCACAACACTGGGGGTCAATACTTTATTCCATGTTTCCTGCCTGTGGATTGGATTCTTGGCTCTCTTGTCAGGGTGCAAACTCTAGCTGTACTGGCTACTGGGAAACATGTTACTCCACTGCTGTGGTTGGCATTGTGTGCCAGAGACCAGTGTCTGTCCCTGTGTGTTGTTTGTCCTTGCCATGGGCATCATGTCTGCCCTGGTGTGCTTCTCAAACTTGTGGGCTGACAGATTTGTTCTTGACCCATCTTCACAACTGTTCCCACAGCACTCAGAGTGCAGGAAGCTAGAGGTGAATAAAAAACATTTTGGCCATTATGAGTAAAGAATCTCTGGCTTTCTCTTAGGAAAGAAATGTCACAGTTATTGATGTAACTCAATTTCTATATCCTTAGCCTTGCCTACTTTTTCTAAAGGTTGTGCTGTGAGACTCTTTGCATATTACAGGTGGAAACATATTACATATATAAATTAGCTGATAGCTTGCCACGCCTGTAATGTGTTCTCATTTGCACGTGGATTCTAGAACATCATTTTGGAAAGCTTACTGCAGTAGGCTTGCTCAGGATCCATGACAGGCCAAACACTCCAGAACTAGCAGCTGACTGCTTTTTTTTACTTTAATATGTTACACATTGACAGCTGAAATTAACAACTAGAGTTCATTTTGCCTTTCAAGAAGAAAATCATTTTAAGCCTCTTTTTGTGACTGCTGCCCCCATCCCAAACCATATGTGTGTATGGTTCTGTAGCCATGGATACAATCATTTAAGAACAAATGTAGACTTGATGGCTGCAGATGTCTATAAAAACGCCAAACTTGAGGTGTTGCATTTGGGGTAGAGTGCTCAGTTGATAGGTGGTTCAGTCCCAGCACCACATAAACCAGGAGTGGTAGTGCTCATCTGTTGTCGAAGCACTTGGGAGGTGGAGGCAAGAGTCAGGAGGTCAGGGTCATCCTTAGCTACATAATAAGAGTTTGAGCCAGTTTAATATGTACTGTGCACTTGCCAGGTATGGTGGTATACACCTTTAATTCCATTATTCAGGAGACAGAAGCAAGTAAATCTCTATGAATTGTAGGCCACCTGATTATTCTGCATAATGAGACCCGTCTCCAAAAAGTCCGTGGGTTGTTTTTTTTGGTGTGTGTGGTTGGTTGTTTTGTTTGTTTTGTTAAGGCCAGCTGTGGTGATGCATGACTTTAATCCCAGCACTTGGGAGCAGAAGCAAGTGGATCTCTGTGAGTTCAAGCCCAGCTTGGAGTGAGTTCCAGGACAGCAAATGCTACACAGAGAAATCCCTGTCTTGGAAAAAAAAAAAAAAATGTATTTCATTAGTCTGGTTACATTCTGTTTATTTTTTATTATTTCTTGTTTATGTGCATGAGTACTCTTATCTGCATGTACTCCTGCACTCCAGAAGAGGGCACCGGATCACATTGTAGATGGTTGTGAGCCACCATGTGTGTGGTTGCCAGGAATTTACCTCGGGAACTCTGTAAGAGCAAACAATGCTTTTAACACTGAGCCATCTCTCCAGGCCAAGTCTGGTTGCATTCTGACTCTAGGTTGATGAACAAATTTTATAAATCTGGTTCAAATAATTGACTAAGTCAGATGTAGTTCACACCTGTAATTCCAGCATCCAAGGCAAAGATAGGAGGAATGCCTAGTGTACACAGTGAGTTCCAGGCCAGAGAGAGCTACATGTTGAAAGGCTGTCTGAAGAAAAAAAAAATAATAATAACCAGCAGCAGTTTTGTCTCCTTGTCTGAAAGTGTTGCCATGGTTTATAGTGCTTACCAGGTATCCTTGGCTTTCGTGCTACACACTGAAAACAGCAGACTAGTTACAGGCTTTGCCTGCACTGAGCAAGTTGCAGGTGTGTGTGGTTGAGTATGGAAAGCTGGTGAATGAAGTAAAAAATAAAGTGTATGACATGGTTATCACTTGAGGAAAGTTCTGACCTGTTGTGGTTCTGTTTGTTTCAAGAAAATGTACTTTAGGCTCAAGAGTTTAGGATAGATAGTTGGTGAAGTGTATGCCTCTTTCAAATTCCAGCTAAAGCAAATGGGTGTTGAAATCCTACCCTGGTGAGATCTCAGGTATGTGTTGGCATGTGCAGTATGTATGAAACTCTTTCTGTGTTTGTTTTCCACTAGCGCATGGATCAAAGTGGAACAGCTAAAGCCTTATCATGCTCATAAAGAGGAAATGATAAAGATCAACAAGGGCAAACGGTTCCAGCAAGCTGTGGATGCTGTTGAAGAGTTCCTCAGAAGAGCCAAAGGGAAAGACCAGGTGAGAGAGATAGCAACAGTTCCCCTCCAACATCAGGCCAGTGTTTTTGCATGGTTATTAGCAGATGAAATGTGTCACAGACTCACTCCTTTTCCATGAGATGCCTAGCAAGAAAACAGCTATGGTCAAAGAACTCTTTGCCTTGTGGCTCACCTTTCTAAGGCTCACTTTTTTCTGAGGCATGTTGTTTTTAGGAGGAGTAGCTCAGCTTCAGAGTACAGCAAAGAGCTTAGGAACACAGCCACCTCCTATCTTTGGGGCTGTAGACAAGTGACATGATTTTCTTTTTTTTTAAGCTGTCTTTCCAGTGCAAATAAGTGAGCAAGGATCCTATTTCTCAGGGCGGCTGTGAAGACAGTTCATAGAAGTGCCAAGAACATTACATGGCCAATGTTGATGGCAGTGGTGGTAGTGGCTGTTGTAGTGGTTATCATTATTATTGTTGAACTTTCAGACATCATCTCACACTTCTGCTGATGACAAGAATCGGCGTAATTCCAGTGAGGAAAGAAGTAGGCCAAACTCAGGTGATGAGAAACGCAAGCTTAGCCTGTCTGAAGGGAAGGTGAAGAAGAACATGGGAGAAGGAAAGAAGAGGGTGACTTCAGGCTCTGCAGAGAGAGGCTCCAAATGCCTTAAAAGAGCCCAAGAGCAGAGTCCCCGGAAGCGGGGTCGGCCCCCAAAGGACGAGAAGGTTTGTCTTACCACTGTAGCATCCGGAATTAGTGTCTTTTGTGTGTGTAAAGTAGAGCCATACTCTTAAGTATGATATTGCTCATCTAGTAGGTGTGGATTTTTTTGGCATGTTCAATAGACAAAATGAAAGCAAGATGCACAGAGATAGAGCAGGAAAGTGGTCTGCTGGGTTGCTCAGGTGCATGGGCCTGGCCAGGGGGAAGCTAGCAAGAAGAAAGGGGAAAAACTGTAGAGATAGGCATGCATCCATGTGAGGTGCAACTCTGGCATGAGTATCCCTGTGCAGTTAGAGGGGTGGGACATGCAGAGGTACAGGCAGGTTGACCCTGGGTCACAGAGGGCCATGCAACACTTAGGAAGCTGTTTAAGCTGGTTGCTGAGATGGCATTGTGTGCCAAGCTGAGCCTTAGTAATTGTGAGGACAGAAAAGAAGGTTTGAAGCCAAAAAGAAAGCCAGAGTAGCATAGCATATCTGAAAAAGAATGATGGAGAGGCATGTCAACTTGGTTCTATGGAGAGAAGGAAATAAAGAGGTTAAGAACAGTGGCTTCAAACTTCACTCCTAGAAGATAGTGTTGTTGCTTTCTTACATGATCAAAGAAGAGCTGATCTGTGTGGTTTTTAGAGGGATTTGGGGTTTGCTGTTAATGTTTACAGAACTAAGGATAGAACCTAGAACTTCATGTATGGTAGGCAAGCACTCTATCACTGAGCCAGCCTTTGAGTGTGACATTTGTAGCATGGCCCAGACAGTACAAGAGCTGTAGACTCGGGAAGCCATCTTGGAGAAAAAACAGTCTAATTTATGAGACTAGATGAGCCTGTCTTGAGAATGTGAGTAGGAGTGCTCAAAGACAGAGGCTGCACTGCAAAGAGATTATGTGGTCAGGGCTAATAAACTTGGAAGTGTGGCCAGATGAAACCAGGGGGAAATGGCATATCTCTCACCTTTTGGCTATCAAGTCTTGAATTTCAGGAAATGGGTGGTCTGTGAATTGTGCGCACACACTGGGAGATATGCACCCAGGATAAAAAGAGCAGAAGCCAGATGGCTTACGGAACAGTGGGTGATGATACTTTGATAAAATACTAGACAGCAGAGCAAGATTGGCAGGTTCAGTCAAACACCAGTGAAATAGGACACTGAGGACCTGAAGCTGCCTTGAGTTTGCAGAAATAAGAGGAGAGTTCATTGCATCTTGGGACAGGCTCAAAAACATTCCATCCACAGGGTACCTGGCCATCTGCTGCCAGATTGTCTAGTTTTCTTTGAGAGAAGCTGGAAATACAGAATTGTGTGTGAAACATCCTAAATTTAAATGTTTGAATATGATTCATGTTTTTAAAACACCTTATGGTTCTAAAAGAATATCTGGCTAGGCTCAGCCTGGTCTGCCTGTATGGGCCTCTGATTGGAGACGGTCCTTTACACTGTCCTAAGGCTAAGAAAGCAGAAGGAAGAGAGCAAGAATCCCCCTATGACCCTACTCAGGAAGTAGTTTCAGAAAACTGCCAGCCTCTGTGATTAGGGGACTTTGAAAAGGATGTGGCCTGATACAAGCCCCCAAAAAATGTAGTTTTCAGTAGAGATAAAAGTGGAACCATTGGTTGTTATATTATCTTCCAAATTATACTGTCTTCGTTGAAGTTTCTCACAGATTTCTGGACAGAAACAGCTTTCTTTGGGATAAAGGGAAGTACACTGGAGAGGTTAGACAAAGGCCTTGTGTTTGGATTATAATCTGACTTTGCTGCAACTGATTGACCATAGCCAAGTTCCTTTCCCTCAGTTTCCTAGTCTGATTCTGGAGCCCTCATAGGTTTACTGTGAGAATTGAGTGAGTCTACAGTTACTGCTGAGGATGATGCCCAGAGAATAGTGGGCATCAGATCCAAACCTTATGTGGGCTGTTTCCAGGATAGGGGCCGGGTGTGCAGTGAGAACTAAGGTTGAAAGTCTACTTCAGTCTGGCTCTCCCAAGATCCTGCCCAAGCTTCTCTGATCTCAAGGCTTCCCTCAAGCTGGTAATGAGAAGTAGTCCACCCCTACAACAGGCTAACTCATTTGGGGCATAGTAACTTTTTTTTTTTTTTTAAATATTCATCACAGGTTATTTACTTTGTATCCCAGCCGTAGCCCCCTCCCTCCTTCCCTCACTCTTCTACCCTCCCTCCCTCATCTTCTCCCTGTCCCTTTTTCTAAGTCCACTTCTAGGGGAGGTCCTCCTCCCCTTCCATCTGACCCTAGCTTATCAGGTATCTTCAGTACTGGCTGCAATGTCCTCCTCTGTATGGCCTAGCAAGAATGTTCCTCCCTTGGGGGCGGGGGGAGGTAAAGGAGCCAGTCCTTGAGTTCATGTCAGAAATAGTTCCTGTTCCCCTTACTAGGAACAGTTTGTCTACTGAGCTACCATGGGCTACATCCAAGCAGGGGTTCTAGGTTATATCCAAACATGGTCCTTGGTTGGAGAAACAGTCTCATAGAAGATCCCGGTGCCCTGATATATTTTGTCCTTGTGGAGCTCCTGTCCTCTTCCGGTCATATTAACTCCCCCTTTTATCATATGATTCCCTGCACTCTGGCATAGTAACTTTTAACCAGGTTTCAGTCTAGGAGAACAACCTGCCCTTGGCGACCCCTGGCAGGGTTCTTTCTGGATGTTTTTGGCCTAAGCCTGTCTTCAGTTCTTGAGGTAGAATGTCCTGGCATTGGAGTGACAGACAGTGCATCTGACCTCATCTGTCCTGTATCTCAGAGTGTGAGTGTGTTCCTATAGCAATTGTCATTTGGCTGGCAGTAAGCAGTAAAGACAGGCTCGTAGCTACAGAGTCCCAGGTGAATGCTATTGTGATAGGCTGTAATCTTCTTCCCTCTAAGAATAACTAAAAAGGCTGACTTGATCTCAGAGGTGTCAGATGCTTGCCTACAGACAAGGCTGAATTTATGTCTAGACTTCTGTTTGAGAGCTTGCCTGGAGGCCTGCACCCATCTTAGCTAGACTCTCCTTTCCTTACTTGTAAGCTGAGAACTATAGCATCAGTCTCAGACCATCCCTGCAGAAGTGTAGTCAGGTCTGTGGCACTCATAAAATTTCACATGCACCAAGAATAGTGAATTGGGGTTGGACCAAGAGCTGTAAACTCCATTCTGACATCCTTGGAGCTCTACTGTTCGAACTTCGTTAAATAAAACTTAAAATTCAACAGCCTGGAGTGAGTTGCTGTATAGTAACATGATTGGAGGCTTCTGTGTTAGCACAGGTAGAGATTGTATGCAGTGCAGAACAGTCTTTGGGTCGGGACTACATCAGCCTGTCTATTAGACAGATGCTTAATTAGGCAGCTTCACCATGGGCCACATGTCTAGGGAGAAAGCCTAAAAGACAGGCATGGCCCCTCTCAGGAAGAGAGATACCAGCTTCATCTGCACAGCAGCGCGAATCCTAGTGTGTGGTCGTGTGGACAAGACAGGCAAGGAGAACACACTGCTAATAGCAGTAACCCTGGGTCCAAATTGCTGGAATTTAATTTATTTTGTATAATGCTGTTTTTGGTTTGGCTTGGATTGGTTTGGTTTGGTTTGGTTTGGTTTTGGTGTATATTTGAGACAGTCTCACTTTGTAGCCTTGGCTGGCCTGGAACTGTGTAGACTAGTCTGGCCTCAAATTCAACGAGATATGCCTGTGTCTACCTTCCTGGGGCTATGATAAAAACGGTGTCACCATTCCTGGGGGTTTGAAATTTGTGTTTGTTTTGTTTCGTTTTGTTTTTCAAGACAGGGTTTTTCTGTGTAGTCCTGGCTGTCCTGAAGCTCACTCTGTAGATCAGGCTTTTCTCAACTCAGAGATCTGCCTGCCTCTCTGCCTCTGCCTCTCTGCCTCTGCCTCTGCCTCTGCTGGGGCTAAAGGCATGTGCCACCACTGTCCAGTGAGTTTGAATTTGTTATCTGTCTCACAATTGGCCAATGCTACTTGAGCTCTCTGCACCTCAGTTTCTTTTTTGTAAAAGGAAGGCAATATTAGTTCTTCACTGTGAGTAACAGGGGCTACATGAGACCATATATGTTAATTAGTACTAAGGTGACTATTAAAACCTTTGCTGTCATTATAATCAACATCAACTTCAAATGGGGAAAGGTAAGAGAAGTCAGATAAAGCTACTTTGGTAAGGACACCTGACAGTCAAGTAGACATGATGGAAGATCATCCCCAGTAGTACAGAGGTCCTGAGGCAGGTCATGTTTGGGGTGGGAGAATGAAGTACTGGTAAGTTGGAGAATGGCAAGGGAGAGAATTAGGACTTGGACAGAGATTCAGCTGGAGTAAAGTGTCTAATTGTGGAGCCCTTTCTGAAGGCTACCATAGCAACTTTAGCTTCACTATAATAAGTAGGGAGCTGGCTTTGGGAAGATTTGAAAAGGTCTGACTTGGTGTGCAGAAACTAGACTGCATGGGCCCAGAAAGGGAGCAGGAGATTCAGTTTGCAGCTGCCTGCTGACAGTGATGATGGTGTGGTGGCCAATTTGGTATAAGTGATAAGGAGAAAGGTGGCTTTATAGTGGCAAAGTAGAGGAGGAGGCCTGGCACCAGGATGATAGAACAGTGTCACAGGAATGGTGGACTGTTCATGGGCACATGAGCATTCATCCTGCTATCCCACTATGGTGGGTGAAGTATATGAGGTATTATCACAGTGGTAGGAGGGGCCAGACCAGCTTTGTACAAGGGAATGGGTACAAGGTTGTGCAGAAGAAAAGCTGTTCATTTGAGGTCATCCTGATTCTATTCTGGCATGCATCATAACTTTTAAATCTGGGCAGGTCTTCTCAGTAGTACCATGCAGTTGATTTTGTTTTTTGAAAACAGATAGATTGCCTTTGAAGCCTCTGTTAGTCATTATTACTTGCCATAAAGAATTTTCCTGTTACTTGCTAGCAGCTTCCTAACCTTCATCTTTGTGAATGAGTACATGAGCATGTTTAATTATTACAAGATTGGGAAAGAAGACTCACTTTGTATTGCCAGGAAGCCATTGCCCTTTTTCTCCCACTTAGAGCATTGCCGAGGGGATTGGCTTGAACTTACATTTAGACCCAGATACTTAGGATTGAGTGTAGCCAAAAAGGAAGCAAAGTATCCTGATGCTCTCTCTACATTTCTCCTGTAGGACCTCACCATCCCTGAGTCTAGCACTGTAAAGGGCATGATGGCTGGACCAATGGCCGCATTTAAATGGCAGCCAACCGCGAGCGAGGTAAAGAACTTTCCTGCTGGTAAGACCAGCCATGATGTCAGAGCAATCACACAGCAGATTTTCTGGCCGTGCTGTATGATCCTCTTTACCCTCTCCCCCTTTTCTGGTTGGTTGTTTTGCTTTATTGGAAAGCAATGCAGAAGTCTAGGAGGTAAAAAATGAAAGCGTCTATTCTCAGAGTGCTCAGTGTTTTAGGTTTGAAGTCCCAAGTAGTCTGCCTGTTTAGCATTATGTGGGATTATAGACCCACTGTTATTCTTACTGTTTGGGGTAGGGTTGTTTTTGTATTTATTATAAAAGCAATACCCTCTCTTCCATAAATACTTTTTATTTTTGCCCCACCGCCACCCCTGCTTCTTGGGGAGGGTTGAGGAAGAGGTTATTTGTCTTTACAGGGTCTCCCTAGGTAGTCCATGCTGGCCTCAAACTGGAAATCCTTCCACCTCAGATACCCAGGTGCTGGGATTACAGACATGTAGCCACCAAGCTAATGCAGCTCTTGATGTTTAGTAGCCTGGGGTCATACTAGCTTCACTCTGCCTGCATCTGGTGCTAGGCATAGTTATAGGCCACTATAATCAAAATTGAACTCAGGAAGCCAAGCCCTTAGACCCAAGGAGAAGAGTGCTCTAAAACTAAAAGAGTCCTGGAATTGCTATGGCTTATGCAGCCAGGCCAACTACATGCCTGGTGAACGCTTAATACTAAAATGCAGGAGAGCTTTGTAATATTACTCCATAGAGTTAGTAGAGTGATTGATCTTATCCTACAGAAACATCTGTCTTTCTGTACTTGAACCCATTTTTCCTTAGCTAGAATGACAGTTGTTTATTGAAGGCCAGAACTGAGCCTGGTGGCACAGGCATGTAATCCTAACAGAGGCAGAAGCAGGAGGATCACAGGTTCATGGTCTGCCTGAGAAACTTAGATACTATCTCAAAAAGTGAAAAAAGGCAGTACTTAAGAGGCAAAGGCAGGCAGCTCTCTGTGTGTTTGAGGCCAATCAGAGCTATAAAGTGAGAGCATCTCAGAAGAAAAAAAAAGAAAAAGGTCATGGAGGTGGATCTCACCTCAGTGTAAAATACTTGCCTAACATGGGCAAGGGGACTAGAGTCAGTCCCTAGTACAGGAAATAAAGACAGACCGCAAGTGAGCGACAGTAGTTTAAGCCCAGCAGTCAGGAGGAAGTGACAGGAAGATATCTATGAGTTTGCGGCCAGCCTGGTCTACAGAGCAAGTTCTATGACAGGGTTTCTACGCAGAGAAACCCTGTCTCAAAAAGTAAAAATAAAAAAGACTTAGTTCAAGAATAGGAGAAGTTTCCAGACAGCTGTGAAGGAGACTTGGTTGGAGAAGCTATGCAGCAGAGGGAGTCCATCTTCTAAGCAAGAGCAAGTGACTGGTTAAGAGTAGCTCATTTGATCTTTTCTTCCAATTTTAGCCAGTCAAAGATGCAGATCCTCATTTCCATCATTTTCTGCTGAGCCAGACAGAGAAGGTGAGTATTCACTTGGGGCAGACTTGTGTATGAGTGCCACACTACAAGCTAAGTGCCAGTGAAATTAGAAATAAACAAACAAAGCTTTAGAATGCAACCACTTATGCTGCTAAGGTGTCATCAGTTGCCTTTAGAGTCTAAGACAGGAGGAGCTAGATATGCAGGCTGTCCATCTCCAAGAGGTTGCCCATGCTGCCTGGGGGTACATCCTGTGGCTCTGTGGTCAGGATGGCTCCACACCCCTGTGGCTATAGTAGGAAGCTTAACTAGTGTTTGAGGCTAGGGGTTGGGCCAAACTTTGCAAACACCTTTTTGCAGTGGGTGGCTTTGAAGGTGGGCAGATTGAATTTCCAGCCCAGATCTACTGACCAACTCCAAAACAAGGCACGTATGTTGACACCTCTGATGCTCAGAATCAGACAAAGACATTTGAAGAGCTATGTGGCATACTGAAGTAATGAGCGTTTCCTCTGGATTTGATAAAATTACACAGCAAAGAAATATTCTGTGTATTGTCCCACTTTAGGCCTAACCATTTTGGGAAGTTACTGTATAGAACTGTTGCACTTAATTAGTGGTCTGTTTTTTTTCTCCTTCCTCTTTAGCCAGCTGTATGTTACCAGGCCATCACAAAGAAGTTGAAAATATGTGAAGAGGTATGTAGGCTTCGAATTTTTATTTCATTCGTGGCTTTACCGTGGGCAGACTGCTAGATGATTATTTGTGTTCCCTATCCCTAGGAAACTGGTTCCACCTCCATCCAGGCAGCAGACAGCACAGCCGTGAATGGCAGCATTACACCCACAGACAAAAAGTAAGAACCTTGAAAGAGGAGGCCTCCTGGAGGCTCTGGATTCTGGTAGAGCTGGGGAAGTGGCACCACAGGAGCCCTGAAGAGCCGTGTCAACACCACTGCTACTCATTTGAGAACAATTTTACTTCTTCGAGGTGGAAGTTATCACCACCACCCAGCCTCCTCATGGGATCCTCCCTTAAAAACAGGCTCAGGGCTTGCCTTCCTAATTGTCATTGAGTCTGAGCAACTGCTTCAGAGGTTCTCTGAGCCTCCTGAAGCATCGCATGTAAAGCATTACCTCAGGTCTCCATCCTGGATAGGGCTGCCCTTGCTGCCACTGCTAGTCCGGAACCACTTTTGGAAATTTGGCTCAGTAGACGCCTGATGGGAGCTCCAAGATTAGCCATGGAAAGAGACATGAAGGTTTTTGGAAAAAAAGCCCTTTCAGTCTTGCCTTACCCATATCTCTCTGTCACCTCCCAATCCTGCCCATGCACTTGCCAGCTGCTTTCCACTGTGTCTAGACTATGGGCTCCAAACCTTCCATAGACTTGCCTTTGCTGCTTCATTGTGAGCCAGTTGAGCCTGCAGTCATTTGTTGGAAAGGGTTTGTTTTTGTTTATGTTTTTTTTTCTAAGAGTATGTTGTGAGTAATATAAGTATGAATTCTAGTTTGTATGTTCCGTACAGTTCTCTCACAAACTAAACTCAGTGCATCTTTTGACAGTTCAGGCTATTGAAATCCTTTTTGAACTCCCCTCTGCAGTGTGCAGAAGATGGGAGCTAATCAAAGGGGAAATAGAGCTGAGAGGTAGTGGTGCACACGTGGGATCCCAGGACTTGGGATGCTAGGGCAGAGAAGGATTAGGAGTTCTAGGCCAACATGGGCTGCTTAACACAGCCATGTCTGAAAACAAATATGTGAGGGCCAGGCATGGAAGGTAGGTATCCTTTAGTAAGGATTGTATTCGTTAAAAAAAAATAAAATAAAAAAATAAAACAAGTCCAGCGCAGGGCTAAGGACTTGAGTCCTCATATTCTCACCTAAAACCCTGACAGCCTCTCAAGGCAATTATTTCTTAACATGAGTTTGAAGTTAGCCACAAAGCAACTGATCCAAATTAATCCATACTGACAGAGAAACTAATGGACTATCACTTTTCAGGTTGGAAATCCAGACCCTTCATTCATAGATCTATTGGGTTTTCAAAAACCTGTATTGATAGGTGTTCATAGGGGAAGTTGTACTACACAAGAGAGCTATGAGCGGCAGAAGTCTTAGCATAAAACCTAGTGGTCAAAGAGCACTGTGTTGTTGAGGAAGGTTTGTTGATTCAGATTATGTCGTATGTGCTAGGACAGAGGATGTTGATTACTGATGCAGAGGTATTTCTGCATCAGTAAGCGGAACCGTCAAGTAAAGGAGTCATTTGCCAAGGATGCCTGCAGGCAAGATTCCAGAGAAAAAAGTATGGAGGGCCTGCACAGAGTCTTCATGGGGAATCTGCAGAAAGTGGTTAGAGCTGAGAGAAAACCTAAATAGAAGACAAGAAAATAGTCGAATTTCTAATAGAAGAAAGTCATTATTTAACTATTATACCATGCAAGAAAAGATAAAGATACGTAAAAACCAACTGAGTGTAGTGGTTCAGCCTGCATCCTAGTGTTCTGGAGGCTGACACATACCTGGGCAAACTGGGCTACAAAGTGAGAGCCTATCTCCTCCCAAAAAAAAAAAATAAGTAAATAAAAAATAAAAAGGTCTAGAGAGATGGCTGTGTTGGTAAAGCTCCTGACATATAATTTGGGACCTAATTTCAGTTCCTAGTACCAACACGAAAATGTCAGGCATGGTGGTACATGCCTCTGATCTCAGTGCTTAAGGACAGGCAGACAGGTAGATCAGTGTAGCTCATTGGCCAGCCAGCTAGCCTCATGTGCTTAGCAAGTTTTAGGCCACTGGGAATATTGTCTCCAAAAAAGGTGGTGATGACACTCAACGTTATCTTCTTACCTATATACACTCATAAAATACAAGAACCAGAAAAGATATTTAGGCAAGATGAAGATCTCCATACAAGTACATAAAAGATAGCAGTTCTCCAGTGGCAGGAAGCAGTAATTAGAAGAAGTTAAAGTTAAACAAAATTTGCTGTATGCACAAGAGTCACAGAGAATCAAGATGAACTGAGAAGAAAGTGTTGGGAACAACGCTTTAGAAGATGTAGGTAGATGGTCCAAAGGTGAGAGACTGGGAGAACAGATGTCAGCAAGGCGTGGTGCATGCTAGTCCTAGCACCTGCACTGTGGAGGTGGCCTGGCTCTCAGCACTTTGTGTCTGTGGTTTGTGTATTTTAGCACACATTGTAGTGGTCTGAAAGCTTAGTGCACGGGGTTACTGATCAGGAAGCCATTCAAGAGCTGAAGCTAGCTCTGTGCTTTGTCAGTGGAGTGGAATTAGACGCTCAGACGCTCTATCTGAGCAGCATAGGGGCCCACAATTGGAAGACTTGCCATGAAAGTCATGCTTTGGTCTCTGATGGTTAAAGATCTAGACATAGTCATATGCATTTAGGGACCTTTACTGACTGTCCAGAAGAGGATGAGGTCCAGTGCTGGACCAAGAATGTAACTTATTGGTAAAGCATTTGCCTAGCATGAAATTCTCCTGAGTTTGATGTCCAGTGACATAAAAGAAAAAGGTACATTGTCACTTGTGTTGCAAGATGGACATGTCTTTATCTCTCTCTTTCAGGATAGGATTTTTGGGCCTTGGCTTAATGGGAAGTGGCATCGTCTCCAACTTGCTAAAAATGGGTCACACAGTGACTGTCTGGAACCGGACTGCAGAGAAAGTAAGTATTAAGGCAGAGGTTTGCTGGCTTTGGAAGGTGGGGTAACTAAAGGTAGACATCTGTCTCTATTCAGTGTTCTGCACCAAGTAAAACAAGAGCTGAGCTTAGTCCAAGCAGAAGTATATGTAGGGTGTTGCTATAAAATTTTAACTATTTAAAACTACCCAAGGTGTAGCCAGGTATGATGACACATGGCTGTAATTCCAACACTTAGGAAGTTGAGACATAGCCTACATTATATAGGAAGTCCCAGGCTACAGTGAGACCTTTTATCGAAAATACAAACAATGGGGGCTAGCTCAGAGGTTATGAGCATTGACTATTCTTCGAAAGATCCTGAGTTCAGTTCCCAGCAACCACATGGTGGCTCATAACCATCTATAATAAGATCTGGTGCCCTCTTCTGGCCTGCTGGCACACTTGCAGGCAAAATACTGTATAATTAATAAAATAAATGAATGAATGAATAGATAGATGGATGGATGGATAGATAGATAGATAGATAGATAGATAGATAGATAGATAGATAGATAAATGAATAAATAAATAAATAAATAAACAGATAAATAAATAAATAAATGAATAAATAAATAAATAAATAGATAAATAAATAGATAAATAAATAAATAAATAAATAAATAAATAAATAAATGAGTCTTAAAAAAAAAAAACAATGAACCTGCCGTGATGGCACACATCTTTACTCCCAGTACTTGGGAGGCAGAAGTTGTGTAAGGTGAGTCTGTGTAAGTTCAAGGCTAGCAAGTTATAGGACAGCCAGGACTATGTAGAGAGACCTTGTCTCAAAAAAAAAAAAAAAAAGCCTAAAAAGATGGCTCAGCAGTTAAAGAATATGTTCTGCTCTTCTAGAGGGCTAGAATTTACTTTCCAGCATATACATCAGGTAGCTCACAACCACTTATAACTCCAGAAGATCCAATGCTTTCTTCTGGCTTTTAGGCATCTGTGCTCATGTGTCCATAAACACATACATAAAAATAATCTTAAAAAAAAAATACTGATAACAATAGCAGCAGAAAGACCCATTGCTATAAAATGAAGTGTACCCCATAACATGGAGCATGTAGGCAGACCAGCTTCATCCTTTGTAACAACTATACCGTATCTGTGATGTGGCCCATGCCGAGCAGGTTGAGCAAGGCATTTTACAGTAATAAAAAGAACATCGTTTTTGAATAGAGTGAAGGACCAGAGACTAGAAAAGTGCTTCCTGAGACACATTACCAGCTTGAGCCCTGTGTATAATAAATACAGGGCTGAAGTCAGAGCTGATCACTGAAGGATAGCAAAATTATTAACCAAAATGATAATTAACAAAAAATGTCATAGGGGCTGGGTGTGGTGGTATAAGCTTTTGATGCCGGCAAGGGGGGGGGGGGGGAATCTCTTGAATTTATGGCAGGTCATTCCTACAGTGCAAGTTCCAGGTCAGCTACATAGTAAGACCCTGTCTCAAAACCAAGTTAAACAAAATATTTTAGGGTCTGGAGTGTAGCTCAGTGTTAGAGCAAGGCCTTGATTCTCTTTCTCAGTATCCCTACTGCTAAAAATGATTTTTGCTAGACCAGGTGCTTTTCAAGAACAGATTAATGATTGGGGTTTTGTGGGGAGCCTGGGGCAGTAGCTCCAAAGGCCATGCTCTCTTGTTAGGCATAGGTGTTGAACACTGGGTAGTTGTACTGCAGTCTGTATGGTTCCAGCATTCTCCTCAGCACTGCAACTGCTGTGGGTAAGGGAAGTCAAGGGACAACATGGACAAAAGATTGAAGCATCTGAGAGTTGAGTTAGACAGGCCCATATTCAAATCATAGATGTGCTGTTTATCTTCCATGGCAAGATACTCTGCTTGTCTATCTCTGTGCAAGTAGTAGAGTGGGAGCACCTGCTTCATAGAGGACAGAAATCAACAGTACGAAGCTTGAAGTACTCACTCATCTCAAGGCCTGGCAAGACTACTGTGAAAAACCATTTAGTCTTGTAGTAATTGCCTTGGCATTTTGTTGTTACTATTTTGGGTTTTTTTTTTTGGTTGGTTGGTTGGTTGGTTGGTTGGTTGGTTGGTTGGTTGGTTGGTTGGTTTGTTCGTTTAGAGTTTTTTTTTTTGGGGGGGGGGTATTTTTTGTTTTGTTTTGAGCCAGGGTTTCTCTGTGTAGCCTTGCCTGTCCTAGACTTGCTTTGTAGACCAGGCTAGCCTCAAACTCACAGAGACCCACCTGCCTCTGCCTTCCTAAGTACTGGGATTATAGGCGCCCAGCTTTTTGTTTGTTTGTTTGTTTGTTTTTTGATTTTTGTTTTTCAAGGCAGGATTTCTCTATTAGAATTTCCTTTAAGGCTATAGGTAATAATGATTTTTTGGCTGGGCATGATGGTTGTTGCTTTCAATCCTAGCACTTAGGAAGCAGAGGCATAGAGATCTCATAGTTTGATGGAGTCCAGCCTGGTCTACATAGAAAATTAAAGGCCAACCAGGGCTACATAGTGAGGTGCTGTCTTACACATACAAACTCATGCATTTTTTTTTCAAAGTGTCTTTGGTACTGGGGAGATGGCTCAGTAGGTGAAGGTACTGACCACCTATCCTGAATGTGATTACCAGGACCAATATTATGGAAGGAGGGACTCCTGTACATTGTCCTCTAACCTCAGGCTCACACATTCACACACATCACTAAATAAATAATTGTAAAAACAATAAATTTTTGAATAGTTCTCTGGCCAGGTACAGTGGCATATGTCTGTAGTCCCAGCTGCTCAGGAGGCTGAGGTAAGAGGATCTCTTGAGGCTAGACTGACTGCCCAACACAATGAGACTGTATCAAATTGACAACAAAATAGTGATCTGCCAGTGCTTCTAAAGTAATAAAAAAGAAGCATGGTTTTAATTTTCAGGAAGAAAGAATAAAATTGAGTTAGGATGACTCATGTGTTAGGTAGAAGGATCACGATGATCCTTCAGCCAGGGCTGCCTAGCAAGTTGAAGGCAACCTAAGCTAACAGAATTAAACATTGTCAAAAAAAATTATTTTAAGGGTACGTGGTGGGCTAGACAAATGACTTAGTAGTACTTTCGGTGGCTCATAACTATCTGTAACTCTCATTCAAGGGATCTGACTGACACCCTCCTCTGGTCTTTTGAGGGCACAGACATATATATGGCATACATGCTATCTGAGCTGCCATGTGGGTGCTGGGAATAAAACCCAAGTCCTTTGGAAAAAGAGCAAGTGCTCTTAACCACTGAGCTATCTCTACAGATCTAGATCCATAGTTATTGGATAATAGCTCCCCCAAAACAAAAATTGGACAATATTGAATGTTCACCAACTGAAGGTACTTATGTCTGTATGATAAGAAAAAGGAACTGTGGTTTAGTGTGTTCGGTGGGTAAAGGTACTCACTGCAAAAGCTCTCAGTACCCATGTAGAGGAAGGAGAACCGACTCCAGAATTATTCTGTGACCTTCACATGTATACAAAATACACACAAAATTAATTCAGTTAAAAAAATATATATTTTTTAGGGGTTCTGGAGAAATGGCTCAGTGGTCAAGCACACTGTTTGCTCTTGCACGGGATCCAGTTTCAGTTCCAGAATCACATGGTAGATTACAAACATCCATAACTTCAGGTCCAAGAAATCCAACACCTTCTTCTGAGCACTAAGCACCAGGCAGGCACACATGTGGTGCATATGCATATATGCAGACAAATTTAATTACCTTTTTTGGTTTGTTTTTTTAATATAGGGTTTCTTTATATAGTCCTGGCTATCCTGGAACTCGCTCTGTAGACCAGGCTGGCCTCGAATTCAGAGATCCATTTGTGTCTCTCTCCCAAGTACTGGGCTTAAAGGAATGCACCACCACATCAAAAAAAACAAAACAAAAACAAAAAAAACTACTTACAATTATTCTGATTATCTCTTTCAATATCTTATTGGGAAAAAGTATACCAAAATACTAGTGATCTGTTTTATAGGATATTCTGGATTATTTTAATTTTAGGGAAAAAAAAAGTTAGGTCTTTGGGACCCTGCATAAGTCTTAACCTGGCTGCAGGCTTTGAAATCAGCACAAGATGAAATGATAGTCAAAAGAAAGGGACCACACAGCCCAGCCCTGCTCCCTCTGCATGTGCTCAGGGCACAGGGCTGGTTTTGCCACAATTCTACCAGCACAAAGGAGCTCACTTAGACGCTGCACATATCCTGCTCTTCAAACTGCCAGCCTTCAACAGACACTGGCTTTGCATCTGAAGTAGTATATCATTCTAGATACTATGTCCATCTGCTTGAACAGGGCAGTCTATAAGTTTCTGTGTCCACTTATGCTCAAGGGGCCAGGTCTCCAGTTCTAGTGTCCTAGAGCTTCAGCCTCAGCCTCCCGCCTTGGGAGACCAGCCAGGGGCTACACATCTCTGGCCTGTCCGGCATGTTTGTTGTGCATTGCACGTAGCTCACGTTAGGATCTGTGACTTTTGCAGTGTGATTTGTTCATCCAGGAGGGGGCCCGCCTAGGAAGAACCCCCGCTGAAGTCGTTTCAACTTGTGACATCACTTTTGCCTGTGTGTCGGATCCAAAGGCAGCCAAGGACGTAAGGATCCCCCTTCCCTCTGCATCTCAGGTTGTAGCCAAGAGAGCTGGCTGGCCTCCTCCCCTTCTCCCCTGCACACTGAGTGAGTGTCTGCATGTGGGGGGATATCCCTTCTGGGGGCCATCTCCTATTGGGAAATGTTGTCAAAGTTGAATACAGACTTCTTTTAATTCAAAACAAAGAACTTCTAGGGTTTTTGAAGTCTGTTTAAATGTTTTCCTGAACTGGCTCCAGGTATTCTATTGAGCTGGACTATTTGTGGCTGAGTATGCCTTCCTTTGGTCCAAGGGCCAATTCCTATTTTAGCTATTGCTGAATTTGCATGTTTTACAAATTCAAGTACAGTAATGACCCTACTGAGTGATCTAGTTCAAAGAAGCCCCTAAAATAATTAATGAGGTTCTGTCTTTCAAACCAAAACACAAAGAGAAAAGAGAACGTTCTGGGATGACTTTTTGTTGTTAGTTTTTTGTTTTGGTTTGGTTGTTGGTTTTTTTAGTACAGGGTTTCTCTGTGAGTCCTGGCTGTCCTGGAACTTGCTCTGTAGACCAGGCTGACCTTGAACTCAGAGATCTGCCTGCCTCTGGGCTTAAAGGTGTGCTCCACCACAGCCTAACTTACTTAATTTATTTGTAAAAGTCTCATGTGCCTTTCTTTCTTTCTTTCTTTCTTTCTTTCTTTCTTTCTTTCTTTCTTTCTTTCTTTCTTTTTCTTTCTTTCTTTTTCTTTCTTTCTTTCTTTCTCTCTCTCTCTCTCTTTCTTTCTTTGCAAGAGTCTCATGTGCCTGCCTCTGTGCTCCACCACAACCTAACTTTCTTTCTCTCTCTCTCTCTCTTTCTTTCTTTCTTTCTTTCTTTCTTTCTCTCTCTCTCTTTCTCTCTCTCTCTCTCTCTCTCTCTCTCTCTCTCTCTCTCTATGTATTGCAAAAATCTCATGTAGCCCTCACTGGTCTGGAACTTACTATGTAAGTAGACCAGGCTGTCCTGGAACTCACAGAGATCCCTCTACCTGGAATTACTTTTCTATCCCATACATATTTAGTGGTTCTTTCCTTTTCATTTTTAATAGTTAACTTCTGATCGGGCAGTGAACCCCCAAAACACAACAGACTGTGTTCTGCAGGGACTCCTGAGCACTTAACTGCAAGCCTGGGCTATTGCTTCTCCATTGTGTCCCCACAGCTGGTGCTGGGCCCCAGCGGTGTGCTGCAAGGGATACGACCCGGGAAATGCTATGTGGACATGTCAACGGTGGATGCAGATACAGTCACCGAGCTGGCCCAGGTAGCAGCCTTATGTAGGCTGGCTCTGGATCATCTTTTGAGTGGGAGCCCAAGACACAGGCTAACCACACCCAAGTACGGGCAGTTTGGTTACACTAGAACCAAAACGAGAGCGGACGTCGGGAGCCTTGGGACTAGCCTCTTGACTGTCCCCCTTCAGATCCTCAGCTGGTTGGAACGGCCATGGATGGTCACTGCAGGCTAGTAGACAGGAGGTCCCATGATGTCAGCCCTCCTACAGTGAGAAGCCTCCAGACTGCCAGTGTGGCCTTTTTGGCTTAAGCAGCTGTCTACAGTTGAGTCTAGCATAGTGTCCTCCTCCCAATCTTCTGGGCCCACTTGTGTTTTGAGGGTGGCTGAATTCAGAGATGGGCAGGGTCCAGATAGCAGGAGGTCAGCCCAGGCATCTGTATTGCCATGTTTGCCCCTTGGTCTCTTAAGAACCAGCACACTGGGAAATAAGATGCAGACCCCACTTCCTTTCTTACATTCTGTGACTCACTTCTGTTTAAAGGATAGCCTGTCTGACCCACTACAGTAGGAAACTTTAGTACATATATTGGCTTTGGGACCTTAGTATAGATAGCAACATGCTAACATACCCTATGATGAGACACCATGACCCCCAAAGATGTTCCTTCCTCCGTACATGGAGAAGCAAGAACCATCAGAAGTTGTGGCTTTCCTTACAGGTGATTGTATCCAGAGGGGGTCGCTTTCTGGAAGCCCCAGTTTCAGGGAATCAGCAACTGTCCAATGATGGGATGTTGGTGATCTTAGCAGCCGGAGACAGGGGCTTGTATGAGGACTGCAGCAGCTGCTTCCAGGCAATGGGAAAGACCTCCTTCTTTTTAGGTAATTGGGGGCAGGGGAGGTACATGGGTTTGTGTACAAGGTCCCACTTGGCCTTCCCTCCAGGCTCCCTTAAGAGAAAGCTGCTTTTGCCAGGCACAATTAGTGCCTGGAAGGAAAAAGAGGCAGTTCTATCCAGGACAGATGAAAGAGGTTTTCAGGGTGTGTGGGTGAGGTAGAGATGACCTGCCTATAGGATTCTTGGGACATGACCTTTGTCCTGAGCAGGTGAAGTTGGCAATGCAGCGAAGATGATGCTGATTGTAAACATGGTCCAAGGGAGCTTCATGGCCACCATTGCTGAGGGGCTTACGCTGGCCCAGGTGACAGGCCAATCACAGCAGACACTCTTGGACATCCTCAATCAGGGACAATTGGCCAGCATCTTCCTGGACCAGAAGTGCCAAAGTAAGTCACATTTGGTCTCAGTTCTTGCAATTTTATTTTCATTAGAGCTGAACAGCTGGGTCAGAGACCATCCAGGAGAGAATCCTATCACTGTGTTCGAGCTCCCTTTCCAGTCAGTCCTTGCCCCAGTCAGAGGAGACCCAAAGACACAGTGAAAATGGTACTTGTGTCTTAGAGTGGGTCTTCAATCTTTGGAGATGGAGAAGGACAGGACTGTACCCTTTGCAATTGCTGGGGTGGGGGGGTGAGTCTGATACTCTGAAGGCAATTTTCATGTAGGTCTTTAGACTTCTGATGAACATCTTTCCCTCCTCAGATATCCTACAAGGAAACTTTAAACCTGACTTCTACCTGAAATACATTCAGAAGGATCTCCGCCTGGCCATTGCACTGGGTGATGCAGTCAACCACCCCACTCCCATGGCAGCTGCAGCCAATGAGGTAACTTGACTTCAAGTAGCCCAGGCCCTAGATCCTTGAATTTAGTTGTTTGTTATTTCTGTCCTGCTTGCTTAACTTTTCTTCCGTTATTGACAACAGGTCTTACAGACTTTCTGCTCAGCCTCCTGGGTGCTGGACTTAAAGGCATGTGTCCCCACATCTAACTCTTAAATTTCATACTTGTTTCTCACTACATTGAGCCAAGAAAGGAAGGGGACATCATGTACAGAATTGTACTATTTCTGTCTTTAAATTAATTTTCTCCATCTAGTCCCTGAAGGATGAACACTAGGCAACAGTTCTAGATATACGTATGACATAATTGTAAGAGCTCATTTCCTTCTGAACCACAGCAGTTTATTACTTCCTTTGTGATTTCTTCTTTGATCTCTGGATTACTATAAAGTTTATGGAGCCAAATACGGTAGTCCATACCTATAGCCCTTGCTACTTAGGAGGCTGAAGCAGTAGTTCAAGGCCAGCCTGCACAACTTAGTTAGAGTTTTAAAAGGATACCTTTTTGTTTTCTCTCTCTCTCTCTCTCTCCCTGAAACAGGATTTCTCTATGTAGCCCTGGCTGTCATGGAATTCACTGTATGTACCAGGCTGACCTCAAACTAAAAGATCTGCCTGCCTCTGCCTCCCAAATGCTGGATTAAAGTTGTACACTACTAGCTATCATTTCTTGGTAGAGTACTTACCTAGCATACACAAGACCCTGGATTCAATCCCTAATGCCACAAAAACATTGAAAACAGGATGTGAGTTTGCTCTTGGAGCGTAGTGGCTGGTTTGTGTTGTTCAGTTATTGAACAAAGTGCTTGACTGTTTACATCATGCATATATTAGCTGTAACTGGGAAGTTTTCTTCTCTCCTTTAATTCTGCCCTTCTCATACAGGGTTCATTTCATTGCTCAGGCGTCATGGATCTCATTAAGGTAGCCCTGACTAGCCTCAAAGTCACAGTCCTCCTACCTCCGTGTCCATAGTGCTAGTATTACAGATGTTTTTTTTTTTTTTTGCCTTTTTGTTTATTTGTTTTGTTTTTATGAGACAGGGTTTCTCTGTGTAGCCTTGGCTGTCCTGGACTGGCTTTGTAGACCAGGCTGAACTTGAACTTAATTTCTTTTTAATTATGTATAAGTCTATATGAGTGTATGCACATGAGTGCTGGTGTCCTCAGAAACTCAGAGATGTGGGATCCCTTTGGAAATGCAGGCAATGTGAGGCAGTTGATGCAGGGTCCTCTACAAGAGCCGCAAAGGCTCTGAACCACTGAACCATCTCTGCATCCCCCACTTAATTTCTAACCATGACTCTTGGCAGGGTATTTCTTTTGTATTTTGAAGCATCTTCATAAAACTCATCCTAGATGCGGTTATGAAGGGTTCTTTTCAGGGCTTGTGCTGGGAGAGCTTTGTGGTGGGTCAAGGTCCAATTTGCATCTGCTCTGGCAGAGTTCACTGGAAGCAGAATTTTGCTTCATTTCACAGTGGAACTGGACTGTGAAACCCCTGTATCATGTGAATTCAGGTTCTTCGCTGTGCAAGACCTTGAGACTGGGCTCTCAAGGCTAGCCGCTCCATTAGCCTGTTGCCCCTTTTGCAATTGGATTTGGAGCTGTCCTTTTAGCATTTGTTTCTGTCAGTCCCTGTCTTTATCTGTTCCTTCTTTCTCCTCTTCCTAAGGTTATCTGTGCGTGGTAGAACTTAATTTTTATTCATATCTTAGCTTTTTTGACAGTGCTTGCTTTTCTGTAATGGTTGTTGTCAGTATTCAGTCGATACCCTTAACTTGCATGAAACAGAAACACAACTACCTTGTTCATTTTACCACATACTCATTTCTTTCTTTTTTTTTTTTTTTTTTTTTTGATGATTTATTTTATGTATGTTGGTATTCTGCCTGCCTGTATATGTGTGATTGTCAGATCCCCTGGAACTGAAGTTACAGACAGTTATGAGCTGCCTTGTGGGTACTGGGAATCGAACCCTGGTCCTGTGGAAGCATAGCCAGTGCTCCTAACTGCTGAGTGATCTCTCTAGCCCCCCTCATTTCTAATCATAGTTTCTCAACTAGTTCTCTTGATAGCCCTTTCCATCCTTCTGTTTCTTGTTAAAAATTATGTTTCTCTGGCATTATTCCTTTCATCTGAAAAACTGAGTTTGTTACCAAGCTGGGTAGTGGTAGTGCACACCTTTAATCCCAGCACTCAGAAGCAAGCAGAGGTCTGTAAGTTCAAGGCCAGCCTGGTCTAGAGTGTGTTAGGGGACAGCCAAGGCTATACAGAGCAACCCTGTCCCAGAAGAAGAAGAAAAAATTCTTATCACACCCCTGCCACTGATGGTATTCTGGGAGTCTGGTCTAGAAAGCTATTCAACCTTCATTCATTAACAGATAATACCAGAGCTGTGTGTATTCTGCTTTACATTGGCTCTGCTTAAACTCTTAAGTTGCCCTGTGTACAGCAAAGCATATCACCTCAACAAAACTGAGTTTCCTGTTGCCTTTCTCATGGTGGCTTTGACTATTCTCAAGCTGCTGGGGACTTGCTCCCTTCTTCATGTCACTTATATTTTAATGGAAGAAAACACAAAATAAGCTTGAACCTTTTAAACAAGCAATAACTTCAGCGTGTAAGAAACATAGTTTGAATGTCAAAGCGTTGTGGCACATGCCTTTACTCCCAGAAGAGGCAGGTGGATCTTTGTGAGTTCAAGGCTAGCTTGGTCTGCAAAGCGAGTCCAGGACAGCCAAGGCTACACAGAAAAATCCTGTCTCAATAAAAAAAAGAGAAGAAGGAAGGATGGAAGGAAATATAGTTTGGGGGAGGTAGGCTGTTTTGGAAAGAAGGCAACGACACCTTTAGTCCCAACTCCTAGAGGTAGAGGCAGACAGATCTCTGAATTCAAGGCCGGCCTCGGCTACATAGTGAGTTCCAGGACAGCTGGTGAAAAGAAAATGCAAAAGAAAAGAGAACAAAACAAAACATGAGCTTATTGTGGGCTCTACAGGAAAGCCCTGTCTCAAACAACAAAACCTGAAAACTGGGGCTGATAGCTTAGGAATTAAGAGAACCAGCTGCTTTTCCAGAGGACTTGGGTTGGTTTCCCAGTACCTATATGATAGGTCACAACTGTCTGTAACTCTAGCTCCAAGGGATCCAAAATCTGTTTGGCCTCTGAGAACACCAGGCACACAGATGGTGCACAGACATACATGCAGACAGACAGGTGAAATAATAAATAAAATTTTTAATTTGACTAAAACAAAAAATAACCGAGAGGTGGCAAGTAGAGGTAGAAGGGTGCAACTGCTGTGTTGATCAGGAGTTCGAAGGAGCCTTTGAAAGTTGGTTAGGAGGTGCCAGCCATTTTTATAAAAGTAAGGCACAGTGGCCCTGGGGATAATAAAACACCCTTGGAGAGTTACTTGCATTGAGGGTGCCATAGTGACTCCTGACATCAGTGAGCACTTCACATCTCTAAGTACATATAGTCTTCTCAGTAAAGCCATGAGGCTGTGACTCTTCCTTCTTCAGATTAGCCTATGGCAGAAGCCTACATAAATTAGTAGCGCATTTGCCCCACATCAAGCCAGGATTCGTACCCAGGCATCTCAAGCTCCAGGTCCTGCCTGCTAAGCAACAGGCAAGAACAATCTGGAAGTACCTTCAGGAGTCAAGGCTAGGTCTCCACATAGTTGCTCTGTGACTAGAGACCAACCTCTACCTCCTTCTTTTTTCAGGTGTACAAAAGAGCCAAGGCACTGGACCAGTCTGACAATGATATGTCTGCCGTGTACCGAGCCTACATACACTAAGCCTTGCCCGCCCATCCACCCTCCCATCTTCCCTCTGACCTCTCTTCCCGGTGTGGGGTCAGGGTTCTGGGACTTACTCTGGACCAGTCACCTGTCTCCATTTCCTTTTATACAGACTTTGAGACTTGCATCAGCACAGTACACAGCAGCACCCTCCCTCCCTGAGGCCCTGGGCAGGGATATGAAGATCTGTCTCTACAGGTGGCTGTGAAGAAGCTCTTGAGCCGGGCATTGATTGGCCCTGGAGCAGGAGGCTGTGTATTCTCTCTGTTTCTCTTGTGTCCTCTGTCTCTGTCACACACACAGACACACACATCCAGGATAGAAGCTGCCCAGAAACTGCTGCCTGGCTGTTCTTCCAAGCTTGTCATATCTCAGCCCCCTTCTGGTCAAGGGACTGGAGGAGCTAGAACTGGCAGGGAGCACAGGAAGCCTTCTCTCGACTTCCCCAGGACAGAGGCTGGCAAAGGGTCCGTGGCCTCCCACTGGACCCCTGGAAGGAGAGGCCCCTCGGCCATCATGAACCAGCAGACTCCCAGAGGAGGCTCTGTGGACCTCCAGCTGAGGAGGATTTTCCTATAGACACTACCTTAAACAGCAGCTCCCAGAACGTCTTTGTGAACTGAAGAGAGATTCTTGTGGCCACATAGACACCTCTTCAGCGAGAGCAGAGTCCACAGCCTCCAGCTCCCTGGCTGTTGGCTCTGGCTGGAGCCTGCTCCTCCCAGGAGGTTTTGTTTGGATTTGCATTCCAGCCCACTGGAAGGGTCTTAAGGACACTGGGAGTAGTGGAGTATGGGAGTGGCTCCTTCCTGTTTCCGTTATGGCGGTCTCTTCAGATAGGCTACCTGTTCAGCCTGCTCTTCACAGGTTCCCTGCATGCCCCTCTTTCCCTTTTCCATCCATGGAGTTAATATTTCTGTTCCATCCTCCTTCGACCCAGACCCAGCCTGACCAGCACCAATAAAGAGCACTTCATAGGCTGGGCTTTTAACAAGGAACCTCACTTCTGCTGGTATCAGTGGTTCCAAGTCCTGGGTTTGTTGGGACAGATTTGACCTGGGCCGTGTACTAACCTAAGTGCTCCTCAGAGGTGGAGCCAGTCATCTGCAGGCCCTAGTGTTTCTCCTTGGAGAGGGGACCAGAGAGGCTTAGATTGTCACATGAGAGCTGTCAGCCTTCCTCCTTGTGAGTTTGGATTTCCAAAGCCACAAGTTGACTTTCCACCGGGAAGAACCTGGGGTAAGGATCTCAGGACACGAGCAAGGAGCAGGGAATGCTTATAGGGGTCAGCACAATTGCTCAGTCACTGGGATGCTGAACGAGTGTCTGTCTGGACGTAGCCTGTCTTGGTCCTGGGGTTTGGGGATGGGGAGGATGCTATAAGGAAACCGGTTAGTCAATGTTGTCTTAATATTGTTGACAATTCTGTAAAGTTTTCTTTTTATGACTTTCTGTTTAAGCTTATTTCACCTTTCGTTTTGAAATCCTTTCCTTTTATGGAGAAAATGTGACATTGTGAAAATGCTTGTAAGAAAGCCCTTCCTTCCCCTTTTTCCTTTAAAATGACAAATTTAGGTGATTAAGGTTGTGAATTTTTATTTTTGCTTTGTTTTTAATGAACATTTGTCTTTCAGAATAGGATTGTGTGATGTTTAAATGGCAAAAACAAAACATGATTTTGTGCAATTAACAAAGCTACTGCAAGAAAAATAAATAAAACGTTTCTTGGTACCACAGCTGTCCCACTTGTGTTCTAGCTCTTTGGGGACCTGGAGTTGGAGCCAGATAGCATCCACCTCCCGGCCTCCAAGTGTCTGCCCAACTGAGTCCTTCCCTATGTGTTCCTGCTGGCGAGCGCCACCTGGTGGAATAATACGGGACAGCTCTGTGAGGGACGGTCCCGCCGGCCAATCAGTGAGCAGTAGAGCTAGGTTGTCGGCCAGGGTGCCCCGCCCCTGCTGAAGAACAGGGGTTGAGGCGGGCGGGTGGGCGGTGAAATGTGGTTTGTTTGCCTAGCCACCCACCAGCCAAGACCAGGAGCGGTGTCAAGTCGCTTAAAGCAGAGCTGGCTTGAGGGCGGAGCTTGTGTCCGATTTGCCAATCGCTCACAGGAGGAGAAGGGGCGGGCACGGCGCACCAAGCTCCAGACTACAGCGACAGCACCGGCGACGATGATGGCGACCGCGATGGCTGCGAGCTCCGCGGAGAGGGCAGTACTGGTGAGACGCCCGCGGGCGGGTTGGGGAGGTGGGCGGCGGGGACGGGATGGGTTTGACGGTGCGCTGTCCGCAGGAGGAGGAGTTCCGCTGGTTGCTGCACGCTGAGGTGCACGCGGTGCTGAGACAGCTGCAGGACATCCTCAAGGTAACACCCGCCTGTGCTAACCGGCCAGCCACCTCCACTGCTCCGCCAGTTGCGCAGCTGCTGAGCCTGGTGGCGTTCTGACACCCACTTCTGAGGGTGCAGTCCAGACGCAGGCATTACACAAGCAATATGTATGTGCAGCGAGGTCTTGGAGGTCTTAGACGCTAGGTTAGCACCGGATCTTGAGGACTAACTTTGAAACTGACATTTTATCTGTGAGGATCAGGAGTTAGAAGGCAGCCGTGGGCTACATAATGAAACACTCTCTCAAAACAAAAATAATCCGAGCTCTGAAGGATCCCCCGTCCTTCAGTGATCTCAGCCAAGTTACCAACATCTCGGAGCCTGTTCTCTTACCCTAACCAAGCTCACAAAGCTATTGTGAAGATGAATGAACTATCTCACCAAATGCCTAGGACTGGGACGGTGAGCTAGGAAAACGTGTTACTGTGACTGCTGATTGCGTGAGATTCCGTGCCTCTGCTCCCACCCTATCACAGCACTCCAGTTACAGCTGCGCCTCTGTTGTCTTCCCACCCGGCTGCTCATGATAGATGCTCAGGACTCTAGAATGAACAGGTCTGAGCTCACAGAATCATGGAGGCTTGGTAGGGCAAAGACACGGAGCCAGGTCAGGCCTGCCTGCCTTGTCCCTTCCCTGGCTAGTCTGGCAAAGAATCTAGGGCCTTGGAAAGGAGTGCTAGCCAGACTGAGGTGAGGTGTTGGGCCCACCCTGTCTTTCACAGGAGGCCTCTCTCCGCTTCACTCTCCCAGGCCCCAGCACAGAGGGTCCTGCCAAGCAAGAGAACTTCGTCCTGGGCAGCTGTGGGTGAGCTGGGTTGGGCAGGAGCTTTTGGAAGAGGCACATGGGTACCGGGGGGTGGAAATGCTCATGGTACTATGAAGTAGCCTGCAGGGGAAGGGCAGCAGCAGGCGCCCCTCTGACTCCTCTGTGTTATAGCACAGACCAGGTGAAGGGTGTGCTGACTCTGCAAGGAGACGCCCTCAGCCAGGCGGTGAGTCCCCGGGGCCCTAACCCCTAACAGTCCTGCTGGTGACAAGGATGGTGATGGCCTCTTATCTCTACCACCAGCTAGCTATGTTATCCTGGGCATGACCCTTGTCTTCTCTGACCTGTTTTCCTTGTATGTCTGTAACTTGACAGGCAACCCTCACGCTACCTCATGAGATAGGCATATAGATTCAGTGAGGGACAAGAAGGGGATGGCTGTACGTTTCACCCAGCCTGGCATCTGGACCCTGTGAAATTTGAGCATTGGAAGCCAAGGCAGGCTGGCCCCAATTCAAAGTTGAATCAGACAACCTCTGAACTATGTCTGTGCAAGGCTTCAAAGCATGGAGGATAGCCCCTCTCCATGGCTCAGTCTTGATTTCACAGTCGGCTTCCCCTCCTCTCCAGCCCTTCCCCTATCTCAACTTCTTTTCTCCTTCACTGCTTTGTGGCTCTTCCTGGATGTGAGTTCCTATTTCTTGACATTCCTGTTTACTTCCTGAATGGCTGAATGGCTGAGGTGCCTGGGGCCTTCGACACCCACCCACCCATCTGCAATCCTGGCTCGGGGTCAGGAAGGACAAGTGCACCTCTGCCTGCTTATCACACTCTGGCCCATAGGACGTGAACCTGAAGATGCCTCGGAACAACCAGCTGTTGCACTTTGCCTTCCGGGAGGACAAGCAGTGGAAGCTACAGCAGGTGAGGTCCACTGCCCAACCCGGGTGCAGGCCCCAGCTAAGGCCTCCCTGGGCTTGCCCTCCGCAGGGGAAGTCTGGCAGTGGAGACTTTCCTAGAAGAACTGGGGTGGTGGCGCCTTGGAGCCCCAGAGCCTGCTCCACATGAGGGATGTGAAACCAACCCCACCTTTGGGAGAATAAAAAAAGCTAAAGGTCCCTTTGAATGGCACTTACTCAGTGGGGGCTTCCCATGCGCAGGCCTCCTGCCTATCTGCAGGCCATGGGACACACATGTGCATATACACACACACCTGATCTGAAGCTGGTCCACACGCCAGGGCCTTTGCCTGTATGCTGCTCTATCTGGAGCCCTACCCTGTCCCACTCCTGCAGCCTTTACAGTTCACAGGTCTCCCTCCTTGCTTGTCCCTGGGTATACTAGTTCCCTCCCTTTTGCCCTGTGGACTTATTTCCTTGTGGGTGTACCAGGAGTTGTCTTTTGAGGAGTGAACTACACAGAGCCAAGAGCCAGCATGCCTTGGCTGCCAGGATTGTCCAGGGCCTGGCAATCCAGGGTTCAAATACTACAGCTCTGGAGGGTGTCAAGACCACAGCCTAGTTTCGCTCAGCCTGGCATCTGGACCCTAGGGGATCAGGCTGAGGACCCAGAAATGTGGCTTCCCTGAAGCTGATAGACTCTGGTTATGTGGGTGGCGGGGCCTGTCTCCAGATCCAGGATGCCAGGAACCACGTGAGCCAAGCTATTTACCTCCTGGCAAACCGAGATGAGAGCTACCAGTTCAAGACAGGAGCTGAGGTCCTCAAGGTGACTCTTCCCGGCCCCTTACCCTGAACAGTGCCAGCTTTGCTGGAAGCTGCTCCTTCCCCAGTAAGTGTTCGCAGGTCTGGCCACGTCTGTTGGCTCATAACCTGGAGTACCACATCAGGCCTTGGTTTAGTGTCAGGGCTTTGTTGTGAGGTGTACAACCTTTCGTTCTTTGCTACTCTGAGCCTCCATCTGCTCACACGTTAAAAGAGAACAGCCTGTAGGCACACTTACCTGTAGTGATTCAGGTAAAGTGCCCCGCTCCCCGAGAACTAGCTGTCAGAAGACACTGCATTGATGGCAGTAAAGGCCTGTCACAGAACAAGGACGCAATGCTATGTGGGGACAGCTGACTCAGGTGCCTAGGGTTTTCTCTTTGTCTAAGACCCCCATGTAATAGGCCCTCAGAACGGCAAGCACCCCTGCTGGGGTTACAGAGTCTAGACCTGGGAACTATTGCCAACTGTCAAGAGCAGAAGCCACAGATGTTGCTTGCAGATGGTGGGTGGGGTGTGAGGGACCCTAGCAACTACCACTGCCCAAGTAGCACGGTCACCTGCTCCTTCCCAGCTCATGGATGCTGTAATGTTGCAACTGACCAGAGCTAGAAACCGGCTCACTACCCCAGCCACCCTCACTCTGCCTGAGATTGCTGCCAGCGGCCTCACGGTCAGTACCTCAGACGGTCCCTATCCCAAGAAAGTCTCTACCGAGCAGTCTAGCCAGTGGGCATTCTGTGCCTGGGCAGTTTTCAGGGTTGGATTCTTGGCCTCCTCCCTGCCTCCTGCTCCCTGATATGTTAACCCAGTTTATAGTCCGTGACTTCCAACCCAGCAGCCAGCACATGGAGATTATGGGGAACCTCTGGTGCCCCATCCTGTGGAGAAGCACCTGGGGATAGGGCTGGGGTGCCCCCTCTCCATACCTTGTAGCCTAAAATGGGAGAGGGCCTCATCCCTCCTGCCTCCTCCAGCGGATGTTCGCACCCACTCTACCCTCTGACCTGCTGGTCAATGTCTACATCAACCTCAACAAGCTGTGTCTCACGGTGTACCAGCTGCACGCCCTGCAGCCTGCCTCCACCAAGGTAAAGGTCCCCCCCACCTCCCAGTGGCCCCACACCAGCCCTGCCAAGGACCCTCCACCCGGACCTCATGAACTCTGCTGCTTCTGCCTAGAACTTCCGCCCCGCTGGAGGTGCGGTGCTCCATAGCCCCGGGGCCATGTTGTAAGTATACAGTCAGGGGTCCTCGAGCCCCATGCATTCTACTCCCTCTGTTCTTGAGGTCTGGGTCCAGGCCGGCCCTCAGGGATCCACTTCTTCCCCTTGCCCAGCGAGTGGGGCTCACAGCGCCTAGAGGTGAGCCACGTCCACAAGGTAGAGTGCGTGATCCCCTGGCTCAACGATGCCCTGGTGTACTTCACCGTCTCCCTGCAGCTCTGCCAGCAGCTCAAGGACAAGGTGTGTCGGGGAGCAGGGGAGTGGGGGCATTCAGGGCTCTCCTCATAGTGCCCCCGAGTTGTAACACGCCCAGTGCTGTCCATACCAGTCGGTTGGCAACAGTTCTCAGACACACTCCCCTTCTGCAGTCTTGCGGTCCTCCAGTGGCCACACCCCCTGAAGCCAGTAGACACCCACGCAAACCTGTTGCTGACCACACCCCCACCCTCCGCAGATCTCTGTGTTTTCCAGCTACTGGAGCTCCCGGCCCTTGTGAGCAAGCACCTGCCGGAATCCTCCTCCCAGGAGGGCAGCCCCACCTTGTAGTCCCTCCCTCTCCCCAGCACATGCCCCTGTGGTGCCTGTCACTGTCAGGAACCCCCCTGAGTTACACGTTCCACCCCCCTCACTGC